CGCGACGCGTATCCTATTTTCGCGTCGGGAAGTTATGGGTTGGCTACCGAGGGGCTAGGAGCCTTACCGCGTTGTTTGAGGTGTGTTGTTCCGTGTGTATGTGTGCATGATGTTGTGGTGTGCGCGTGGGGTGTGGGATGCGTCCTAGTCGACCGACGACGAGTCGCGCTTGGGACTTCAGCCCCCCAAGATGTCGGTTCGCGTGCGGGTCTGATAGGCGTATTACCGCGCGTACCCCCTATGCTATAGCGAACGAGAAGGCTGGTCCACCTCTGCGATTGCAACCGAGTAGCTTTCGTATTGTGGACTGGTAGCTCGGCGGGGATACGCCTACCGAAGGGAGGTGACAGCTCCCGTAAGGTGGAGGTAAGTTGTGCCTCGCGTAGGCCCTATCCTGTCGTAGGGGCTCGCGAGAGGTATGGCTGGCGCACTCGACCGGAGCGGCCTAAGGAAGCTCCTTTTGTGTGTTCGCGACGAGGTTGGTCCAACTCCTGCGTGACGCGTGCCAACATTTCACGAAGTGGGGTCCATACAGTTGCAGCACACCAGTTGGTTGGAGTGCATCGAGTCTCGGATTTCAGCAAATGCTGAAAGCCCAGGGCCTCTGAGTTAGTTAGGCCCTGGGCACTCGAACGTGAGGCCGACAATGCATGCTGGGTATAGAGGCCGAAAATGCCAAAGGGAAATCGGCCCACTATCCGAATATGGCCGCAGGCCTTGATGAAGGAGGCGCAACTGCGTTGCCCCGGGGCCCAACTGTATCGGGCTGGGTTCAGACTCTGGGCCCCGGTCACAGGCTGAAGGGAGGCCGCCCACACGCTGCACTGGCATATAGGCAAGCAGGGCGAGTGGGCAGGGATCTTGGCCATGGCGGGCAATGCCGGCACGCTGCGCAAATGCGAGCTGTTGCTGCTGCTGCGCTGCGCTAAGAGAGGTGCAAGGCAGGCGAGCGCTAGGCGGTAGGGCGCTGCCTGCGCACCAGGGCACTGGCGGCCATAGCCGGGCCGCATGAGGGTGCAGTGAGGGTGAAGGGCGAAGGTGGTCTTCGGAGGTGAAGGGCGTTGTGTGGGTAACAGGGAAGAGTGTGGGTGAAGAGGACACGTACCTGGTAGAGGTGGAGGTCGGCATTGGTGTGGACATCATCACTCGTTGGTAGTCAAGTTGTCTGGTTGCTTTCATTGTTGTAGTTGTAGGCTAGGCTGTAGAGTAGATAGGGCGCTTGGCGCCATTCACAAAGGAGAGCTACATTTGGGTTATGCTGTTGGTGTTGCCCTGTTGGGCATGGACATTGACTCACGATTCTTCTGGATCATTCCAATTGGATGGTTACTCGGTTCCATTGTGCTATCTGCTTTGGCTTTGACTACTTGGACTTCAGTGTGATATTGCATTCTGGATTTCTATGCTTCGTCCATATTCGTGTTCCTTGCAATTTGGTATCGGAGCTGGTTTGATCGCCACTTACCTTTGGCACGCTGGCGTTGTACAGACTTAGTGCGTTGACGATGCTTCTTCGCATTGGGTACTTGTGACGTCAGGCCACGTTAGGTGCACCCCCTGGGTAGAGGGGGGTGCACTAGAAGGCTATTACAACAGTGTATGCCGTGGGATACAGCGGAATGTTTGATTGATGATGAGAGCATGCTGATGTGGCATTGGACTAAGGTGGCACTGCATTGTGTTGTGGGTGGTACCGAGGTCATGACCGGTCACCAAATGCAACATCGGCTCAATTGGTGAGAAAATCTGTGGTTGGGGGCAGCTATCTCTAGGTATGTTGTTATCTACCTTCTCAATCTCTTCTTACCGTGAGGAAGTGAGTCCAACTTGAGAGTCCTCTCCTTGGTGAGGTGTCGTGAGCGCGCTACCTTGAGAGACGACAATCTTCCCGGAAGCATCTGGAAGGAGAAAGGGCGGTGCCTCTGAAGGGCCCTGGTCGAAGCACTGGGTC